TGGATAGCAAGCTCCGGCTCTCTCATATGCACAGCGTAGCTCCCACATTTACTAACGACCCTCACATGCTCCATGGTTTATTCTCGCCCATGCCCCAATGGTATGCCGCTTCGGCGAGCTCCAGAGAATCTGTTCTAAGAAAGTACCTAAGGAATACATAGCGAGACACATAGAGTTCACCCGACGAGCGATGGGGAATCTCAATTCACTAAAGTTAAGCTTTCTACAATTACTGTACTGCAAACCAACTCCTTGATTTTGCTGAGCAACACGCGGTGAGATTGATGCAGCCACTCCACTCCAAATATTCTTTCGCAGAGTTCTAGGTAATGGTCGAATAATGCTCATTCAATGGCAATGGATGGAGCCGCCGACTGACTCGCGATGAAGCTTATGAACATCGAATGATTGCAGCCCAGAATATCGGGTTCAAACGCAGTCAACATGTTTTCAATCACCACTTACTGTGTGAACAAATCTTCTCGATAACGCCTTGTTCCGGCACTCCAGAGAATTTCACAACCACTTTCCAAATCCTACAAGCATCACAAATACACAAACAGACTGAGTGTCCCATAATGAATCTAGTCAATAGCTAGAGATGAGATTCACTAACTCACTTTCGCCGCTGAATGTCTTTGAGGATTTGGGACGCTCGTTCGAGCGCAGGAATTCGCGGGACCTGGTTACCAACGAAACGCACAGCGTGTGCATGCTCGATGTAATGAGCCTGTGAACAGGAACTTTGTACGCACCTAGGAAGAGGGCATACATATAACACAAAGACTCACCAGCCAGTTGGTCATGACGCAAAGGGCACGAGGATCCTCAATTGACTCGCTGAGGGACTTGAAGGCCTCCGATCCATTTTCATCCAAACCCCTGAGCAACAGCGAAAGAAGATAGTCTGATTGGCTGACTCAAATGCGAATGGTTATCACATACTTGATCTCGATATGAGGAGCAGCTAACTTGAACGCTTCTTTGATCATAGCCTCAACGGCCTTGACAGTACGATGCTGATACATCCGCCGATGCAGTGACTCCCTCGTCCGGAAGATGGCGCAAAGGTTTTCAAACTGTATAGGACAACACTCTCCGACAGAGCTAGCATCATCATCATCCAACGAATATGTGCACCTCTTTATCTGGCCAGCATATAGTTGGAAAGCCGTCCGACATGAGGATCTTAGCGTTCATGATGAGCCGAGGTACCTCACACTCTCCTTGGACCCCACTGTGATGGCAGTCTCTGAGGCAGCAGCAAATAATGACTCACGGCACTACATGCTGTCGAGGTTGCCTCATTATGTAATCGAATTTATCAACGTCGAGCCCCGTTCTCTTGTTAGCAACAATATCCAAGAAGAACGCCTTGGCGACTGGCCGACCGACCTGACTGAACTAATCACTTCGATGGACGGCATGCCCTCAAAATCAAGGACAGCCA